CTTTTCCCATTGGGCCCATGCCCCTGAGAGAAGGTAGTTAGGGAAGACAGGTCTGAAATGACACAGGAGTTCATGGCTCCTATGAAATCTTCATCCCTAGTTCTTGAGGTTGGCCATTTGCCGAGTCTTTGCTCATCATTAATACTCTGGGTTATCAGGGTATCCTGCCAGCCTCCCTGTAGTCCTTGCTTACGAAGGTTTCTGGTGCATCTCCTCCTGCCTCACTCTTCTTGGAAGTCGAGGAACTGCCTCTGTACTCTTCCTGCCTCAGTCATTCTGGTGAGGGAGGATGGGCCTGAGCTGACCTTCATTCCCCCCATCTCCAAGGCAATGAGGGAGTATGGAAAGAAATGAGACCTGATGCATATGCATAGTTTAAACTAACAGCCAGGCACCTAGAAGCCTGGAGACATTTATTCCTAAAAGGGGAAAGGGGTATAGGTAGATCCCACCAGGTCCTCTGTCCACACCCCAATTCTCCTGCACTATTACTGCCCATGCAGTCTCCATAGTGACTCATAGAGTAAGGGAAGGAAATTGGAGATGTGGAGCTTACCTATTCCTATCTCAGGCAGGTCAATTATTATAGCAAGCAGCCTCCACTGGTTACCACAGTTACATCCAAGCCCTGAGGGCAAGGGAAGGAGGGTCTTCTCCCCCAACCCCATTAACCCTGGGAAGGTACGGTTCAAAAGTTAGTAACTCATGGGTGTAGTTGGCACAGGGAAGAGACCTTCAGTCTCTCAGACAGATTTTTTGGTGTGCTAGGCATGATGTTTGTGTAGGGAGAATTTTGAAGTGGGAGTGTTGGGGATGGGCCAAGGAGAGAAGGGTTTCTACCAGCCAGCAACCTGGGGCTTATACTGCCCTTGTTTGTTTGTTTAAAAAAAAAACCACTAGTGTGCAAGGCTTTATGTTGCACTATCTCTCCAGTGCTTTCTTATTGATTTTTTTATTTCTTTTTTAAGAAACTTTCTTGATTTTCTAATAGAGTGTGTCCTTATGTCATTCTTCATAGACTCCAATCTCTTTTTTTTCTCTCTCCAGACCTGCAGGGGGCAAGCAGAGGGGAATTGGGGGGTGATGGGGCAGAGGGAGGAAACATGAGGGGAAAGAGGCTTCCCTATAGTTGCGTGGCCCCCTCGCCCTCCCCATCCCACCCCTAGCTCCTGATCATTAGCATGAGCCCTGTATCTCCTCCTCCTAGCACCACCACCTAGGCATCTATATGGATAGTACAGTTATCAGACAACATACCCTCAGATTCCGAGTCTCCAACCTGGTTCTTTTTTTTTTAAGATAGCAATAACCACGACACATTTTACTTTAGTTCTTGATAGCTTTTTACATAAGTACCATAGCTCTGTTCTCTCTTCTTTTTTTTCCATTTTTTAAAATAAAGAAATACTCATAATCTTTACCAGTGAAAAGGATGGAAACGTGAAACGAACAAAAAATAAAAAAAAAGCTCAATGTGTGGAAAATAAAACGAAACAAAACAAAACAAAAAAAAAAACCCTGAATGTGGAAGAGCTTAGCTCCTGTTTTAGCATTTTGTACTTAAGAAAATAAAAAAACAAAGGATCTCACATTTTATTAAAAAAAGTGAAGATTGCTGTATACTATTTATTCAACTTATAATTTATGTTACTCTTTGATCTTTGTCTTTTGTCATGACAAAGCATTTATTTAATAAAGTTATGCATTCAGTTAGCCTGCGTCAGCTTCCTCCAAGGACCTAGGAAAGACAGAGTAGGCAAAGGGGTGAGGGTCAAGCCAAGAGTAGATGCAAAGTCAGATGAGAAGAAGGACTGGGGGCAAAGGTTACTATTTGAATTGGGCCTCAGTTATTTCATCTGTGAGGGTTAAACTAAATGATTTCTGACTTTTCTTCCAACTCTAAATCCAGTTATCCTAAATCAGAGCTAAGGAGGCCCCTCCAGAGAGCCTCAGAATCCTGGGACAAGTCACTCAACTGGACCATTCCAATATATCTTGTATCCCTGGACTTGGGCAGTATCAATACTCTTTTGTCTGGTGTCCCAGGAAGGCAAGGAACATTGCAAGTGGGACCCAATCTAACTCCCCAGTTTTAGGAAGATCTGTACCTAACCCATTCAAAAAAGAGAAAGGAAGGGGCAGCTAGGTGGTGCAGTAGATAGAGTACCGGCCCTGAAGTCAGGAGAACCTGAGTTCAAATCCGGCCTCAGACCAAACACTTGACACTTACTAGCTGTGTGACCCTGGGCAAGTCATTTAACCCCAATTGCCTAAAAAAAAAGAGAGAGCGAGAGAAAGGAGATCCCACAGTCCCTCAGCTCCCCATTCAGGTTTCTAACACCTGAAATCATCATAGAACAGCCAAACTAGAAAGGATCCCAGGTCATCTCATCTCATCTCAGAATCTCAGAGGGAAAAGGGAGTGTGGAAGCCATGTAGTCCACCTTGTACTGGAATAGGAATCCCCAGCACATCTCTCAAAATCATGACACTTGAGAGCAGTATTGACTTTGAGGAAGTTTTTCTTCATATTGAACTTACAGCTATTTTTCTGTGACTTGAACTTTTGCCCCTAATTTGCCCCTAATCCTTCCTTCCAGAACAAAAAAAGTCAGCTTAGTCTTAGGCAGAGGTAAGTTACCTGTCTCTATCCCCTCCTGAACTGGGTCTCAATGGGCAGGCTAGTCATCAAATACTAAAGCTAAAGTTTGGAAGGAAGAGATAATTGAGGCCAATCTCATTTTACAAAAGAAGCAATTTATCCAATGGTTTTATAACTAAATTAATGGTGGAGCCTCTGTTGCTTAATTGGAAAAATCTAAATTCTCCTCTATCTGGAAGGATAATAGTGTACCCTCTGCATAGTTATCTTACAGAGATTTAGCAAACATTATTTATTCATTCGTAGGAAAGGTGGCACAGTGGATAGAGTCCTGGGCTTAGAATCAGGAAGACTCATCTTCATGAGTTCAAATCCAACCTCAAACACCTACTGGCTGTGTGACCCTGGGCAAGTCACTTAATCCTGCTTGCCTCAGTTTCCTCATCTGTAAAATGAGCTGGAGAAGGAAATGGCAAACCACTCCAGTATCCTTGCCAATAAAACCCCAAATGGGGTCATGAAGAGTCTTACATGATTGAACAACAAATTAATGTATTCTCTGGATCCTCTAAACTTCTTTCCCTCACATTAAATCTTCCAAGCTTTTTTCTTCAGAGGTCCCATGACCCATGTCCCCATGTCTCCTTGCCCCACCCCTACTTGCTTCCTTTATGGAGCCCGGAACCTGATACATTCAATGTGGTGACTTCTTTCAATTTGTATCTGTGTGTACTGTCGTTATTCCCATCAAGAATGCTTCAAACCCTTGAGGAAAGCAAGACCCAGAAATGGGAACCACTTGTCCAGTCCATCTCTGTGGAGGAACACAGAGGATATACTGCTATCCTACCATCCTAAACTGTGAAATTTTAATCCCATCACAAGGCCCCCATCCTCAGGATGTTTAAGCAGATGGGATGATGACTGTGGGAGAGTTCTTGCTTATTAGAATTGTCTAGTTGTCAAGGTGGATGGCACATGGAGATCACCTCATCATAAAATTACACCATGGAAGAACTGAAAGGGGTCATCCAGCCCCACCTCCAATCAGGTTCCCAAAATCCTTTTTACACCATTCTTGATACTGCTTAAATCTTTCAGAATGAGAGGGAGATCACTACTGAAGACAGCTCATTCCTTCATTTTTTCAGATGATAAAACTGAGATTGAGAAAAAAAAATCAGAGTCCTAGATTTAGAGATAAAAGGGTGCTAAGGGGCCATCTGGTCTCATTTCATATATGAAGAAACCAAGGCCTAGAGAAATAATCAGAATTATGAAATTTAGTCTAGAATAATCCATACACAAAAGGAATGCTAACCACAGCACACCCAACAGGTAGCTATCATAGTCTTGAAAGGTCATAAATTTACAACCTGAGGATCCTGAGAGTCTAATAAAATCCCCTTATTTTACAGATGAAAAAACTGAGTCCCAGGGAAGAATTACAGAATCATAGTTTTAGAGCTTCAAGGGACCTAAAAGAT